CCCTCGCGCCGCCACCCGGCGGCCGCCCCGGCCCCCCGCCGCTAGGGCCGCGCAGCGCTGGGCTAAAGCGGACCTCCGGGCCCCGGGGGCGGGGCCGCGGGGCGGGGCTTCCCAACGCGGAGGGGCCGCTGGGACGCAGGGGGGACAGAACGCGGGCGGCCGATCCCAGCGCTGCTCTTTGGAGGCCGCTGCGGAGCAGCGCCCCGGCGGGGCCGAGCAGGTACAGGCGACGGTGCGGGGCATCTTGGGCTGGACCAGGCAGGGACCAGGGGCGTGCCGAGGACCACAGAGAATACTGCGGGTCGCGGCCAGCGCTGCGCTTCCTCCCGCGGGTTCGGGCCCCTGTCTCCGCCCCCGCCTTCCTGCGGCGAAGCCGGCTGTGGCTGGGCGGATTGGCGCCTGCGCCGCTTCCTGAGGCCGGGGCGCCGCCAATGCTTGGGGCCCGGGCGGGGGCCAGGGGGAAACTGAGTCACATCGGGATTGGAGCAGTCTTGGGTAGGAGGAACCACCCCAACTGATTCTAGGGTGGATCCCCGTCCTGACCACGCTTTAGGGTCCCGGCTCCCACCGCTCCTCACAGAGACCGCGCCCCACTCCTACCTCCCCCGCCTCCCTTCAGTGCCCAGGGGTCCCGCCTTGGCTCCTTGCAACCTCGACCGGAATGGCTAGGACCCAATGCGGGCGCCCCTCCCTTCCCTTCCCCTCCCCCCGCGTCCCTAGCCCCCGTGTGCTCCCTCGGCTGGCTCCACACAGTGTCAGCTTACACGCCTTATATAGTCCGAGCAGGCTCCAGCCGCGGCCTGCCTGCCGGGACCTGGGGGCGGGGGAGAGGAGGCGGACCCTGACTCACCCCTTTGCCCCAGGCTCCAGGCTGTGGCTTGCGGGGAGGCTGTGCCAAATTAGGCCCGCGTCCCATTCCTGGATGGAGAGAACCTGGAGCTTGGATGCGGGTTCCCGTGTCCCTCGCAGGTCCTGGGGGAAGAGGGCAGCTCTTGTCTTGCCGAAGCAAGACCTGCCCTCCAGAAGCCTAGCCAAGCTCTACAAGGTACCTCCTTACAGGTCCCTTGGGTGTGCACAGCGTGACAGTGCCTGTGTGGCATCTGTCCAAGGCTAGTGGCCCAAGCCGGGCCTGCCCACCTGCCATGCCGGTCACTCACCTTCTCCTCTCCTCTCAGGAGACAGCACCATGGATTCCTTCAAGGTAGTGCTGGAGGGGCCAGCACCTTGGGGCTTCCGGCTACAAGGGGGCAAGGACTTCAACGTGCCTCTCTCCATCTCTCGGGTGAGGAGTCCCCCCTCAGAGCTTTGGGTGCTGGGGTCTCCATGGGAGGAATCGAAGCAGGAGTGAGCTAGGGCCAGCAGGCTGGGCGGTGTCCAGGTCCTGAGATGTAGCCCCTGCCACAAGGACTCCCAGCGAGGTGGGTTCTCGCCGAGGAGCCCAGGGATGCCCCTAGCACTTCACTGAACCTGATATTGCTCCCCCAAATTCCTGTGCCACCTTGGAGAACAGGTGGGGGGTGAGAGGAAGCCATCCTACAGGGTGAGAGCTTGGAGCCAGGAGCCAGGCCCCAGGCCTGATGGGGCGCCCTGTCTGTAAGTCTTCCTGCCCCTCACTGCCCCCATGGGTTAGCACTTGCATCCTGTTTTTCCAGAAGAGGGAACTTGGGGGAGCAGAGGGGCTTGCTCATGGAGTCCATGCAAAGCAGGGACTCAACCTGAGGCATGGACGTGTCCTGTGATTGGAGTGGGGTCTCTCCCTGCGAGAGGACCCTCATCCTCATCCTTTGCTCCCTCTGCACTGGCCTTTGCCTCTGACAGAGGTGTGGGGCAGCTGTAGGCCTCCATCCCCCTCCTGGGAGTCTGCCCTGGCAGGGGCGGAGCTGGGCTGGCTCCTCCCATGGCAGGGGGATTGCCTTATAAGCCCAAGAATGCGGCCCCACACCAGGGTAGCCACCAGCCCTGGCTGGAGTCTGCAGAGCTGAAGAGGGTGAGCCCCTCCTGGGCCCCTGAATCCCGCCGGGGGTCCCCTCTCCAGTCACCAGGCATGGCTTAGTTGCAGGGTCCAGGGGTGGCACACAGTGCACTCTGCTGCCCCAGAGCTGGCGCCCAGCCTTTGGGCGGCGTCTCAGTGTGGCCCTGGGGTCAGTAGGGGGCGGGGACTTCCTGCCCCACATCCGCCTGCCCAAAGAGGCCCACCCAGACGCCCGCCCGGTGGGCAGGCAGCTATTGGCGGGCTGCCCAGGGCAGGCCCAGCCTGGAGGGGCCAGAGGGCTGTCCAGGCTCTGCCCAGTCCGTGAGGGGCCTCAAGGTGGAGTCTGTCTGGGAGCTGGCGAGGTGGCAGCCATCTCCCAGAGATCCTCCATGGTAGTCCTGGCACCTACCCTGCCAGCGGGATGGCTCAGGGCCCTGCTTCCTCGACCTCACGTGTGCCCTACACAGTCCTTGGGCCTTGGCAGCCCTAGACAGCTCCCCTCCCCCTCTCTGAGAAAGCAGTGGCCCTGTTGCCGCGGGAGCCCTGGCTTTGGTGGCCTGTCTCCGTCTAGGCTGATGGGAGTGGACTTCCCGATATGGCCTGTTGGTGGCACTCTGGGCCTAGTGCCCTTAGCCCCAGCATGTGGGTGGGGCCACCAGCGGAGGCCAGCCCTAGAGTTGGACCTAGGGGTGGGGGTGGACAGAGGGAGGAGTGGTCTTTTCTGAGCCGGGTGGCCCCTCCCTCTCCCCTGACCCCAGAATGGAGGGAGAAGGGAGGGGTGAAGGCTGGCTGCAGGCCCAGGCCTGGGAGATGAGGTAACGTCTGGGAGTGGGGGGCTGGGCCGCTCGGTAGAGCCCTGGGGTGACTCACCCCCACTGCAGAGACGCCAGCCCCCTGGCTTTTCCTCTCTTTGATGCCCCAGGCTTGACCCTGCCCAGGCCTGCACTCTACACTCTGTCCAGCCACCTCCCCCAGGGCCCCTGCTTCTGTCCCTCCCCACCTCCTGCACTTCTACTGCCAGGGAGGTAGTCCCTGCCCCACCCTCTCTCCAGGGGCCAGCTGCTCCCGCCTACCCTAAGACCCCCAGCTCAGGCGGAGCCCACACTCCCCTGCAGTCAGCCCATGTGGGTAGGGAGTGGCTGGACGGGGCTTACCTTCTACTGACTCACCGGGACCTTGAGTAAGTCACTCTCCGGAGGACGTCACTTCCCATGCCCATTACGAGGGGTGGATTGAAGTGGAGCTGAGATGAGGAATCTGCCCCAAACCCAGGCTGAGGAAGGGGCTCCTTCTGGGCAGGCCGAGCATCAGTGGAGGTGCTGCTGTGATGGAGCCTCGGGCTCTGGGTGAGGTCCTGGCCCTGCCTCTTACTAATGGGGACTTGAGGCATGTCACGTCACCTCTGGCTACCCTGTGTGTAAAAGGGTCTGGTTCCCAGCTGCCCCACAGGCTTAGAGGACACAGTGGCAGTATCTGGCGACACTTGGTACTAGGTGCAAACTGCTGTCCCTTTTCCTGCCATAGGGCATGTGCACTTGCAGGAGAGAGACAGGGACAGTGAGAAGTCACGTGACAGTGAGAAGTGGCCACGCTGCAGTCTCCTACCCCCCGTGCTCTCGGGATTTGGGGCACGCGCACATGTGCCCAGTGTGCTTTTCAAGCCACCTGGCCCAGGTCTCGAACCAGGGAGTTGACCTTGTGGGATTCAGTGCCTTAACCTCCACGCGCTACCTGCTGACCCCAAACTGCTGTTAATGTTGCTATTTAGCACGTGAAGGGGCGCCACCCTCTCTGACTCAGCTGTGGTCCCCCATGCAGGCATGAGATAGGGCCTTGACACCCAGCTGTCCGCTATTGTCCCCAAGTCTCCTCCCTCTGCCCTTGTACACTCCCTGGAGGCACTTCCGCCTGCTCTCAACCCAGTCTGCACTGGCCCACCTGGGCCCACCTGAGCCCTGCACGTTTGCCCTCCAGCACTGCCCCACAGTGCAGGCCCCCTTGACAGGGGCTCAGACCCCTGGGCAGCCACACTGCACCTGCTGGGCTGGGCTAGAAGGGCACAGTGGCCTTTGTCAGGGTCTGGGGAATACCCTGTCCCAGGCCTTGAAACTACTTAGCGGCCCCCTACCCTCCAGGCCATGTCCTGCTTCCTTCCCTGACCCGAGGCCTTCACCATAGCCCTCACCCCTAGGCAGCACACCCATCCTTTTACCAGGGCCCGTTTCTGCCTGGAAGTTGTCTGTGGTGGCTCGGAGATGCTGCTGTAGGCCATCCAGCTGACTGTCCCTCGTCCAGAGGACTGGGAATGGTGCAGTGCTGTGGCAACTGAGGGCTCGGGTCACACCCTTTGCCCCAGCCAAGAGCCCTGAGGCCATTCAGGCACCATCTGCTGGGAACCTGGAGGTGGGGCCTATGCCTGACTCGGTTCTGGCAGGTGCCTGCAGTGGCTCAGGACGGGGTGCTGGGAGGGGAAGAGGCCGAGGGGTCAGGGAGGAAGCCGCCGACCCACAGGTCACAGGGCGCATCTCATGTTGGGGCAGCGTGGGCCAGAGGCCAGTGGAGGGCTGCCAGGTGCGGTCAGCGCCGAGTGATCTGTTTTCCCAGAGGGAGGCTGGCACCCGATACCACAGCGGCTTCTGGCCTGTGGGGAGGTGGTAGGGTTAGGGTCTTGGTCAAGGTAGCTCCTCCATCTCCCTCCTTTTGGGATCTTGGGCCCCGCGTGCCCCTGCTCCTGCGGGATGTGTTTCTCACTGCGGGTACAGGACTTGAGCCATGGGGTGGCTGTGGAATGCAGCCTAACCCGGGCCCAGGAGCCTGTTCCTGGTCAGTGTGTGCCATCAGTTTCCTGTGAGTGACTGCAGAGGCCTTGGGCGGGGCTGGGTAGGCGGGCTGGGGGGACTCCTGTTGGCCTCAGCTGGGTCCGCAGAGCCGGCCCCATGGCTTTCGTCTCTGCACAGCTCACACCTGGGGGCAAAGCCGCGCAGGCTGGCGTGGCGGTGGGCGACTGGGTGCTGAGCATCGATGGCGAGAACGCGGCCGGCCTCACGCACATCGAGGCGCAGAAC